TATAATCCCAAACATTATCTGTAGAGAACTAACTGTGATTTTCCCAAAGCTAGAAAAAGCAGAAGCAGGAGTTCAACTCAGCTCTGTCTGGTATCCAAATCTAGGCTTTTCTCACCATTTCAATTGACCCAAGATAGTGCTTGTCTGATCTGTTATGGATATGCCTACGTAACAGTTTCCCACAATTCTTCTATAGGTGTCCTTAGCTACTGGAGCCTCCGAAAACCCATTTTAATGCCACTTCTCTCTCCTGCTTAGTATTGCTAATACTTCCTGAAAGAGCCTATTCTCTCAGCAGCTGGTGATATTTGATTTGATTAACACCCTGGGACCGATCACCAGACTTAAAGATGATGCCTAATTAACTGCTTACGTTAAAGAGCTGGCACTTTCTGCATTTGGTTCACACTTCCAGCCTCAATCATGTTTTCGTTTCAGCAATATTTACATGATTAGCAAATAGTCAATTCATACTCTGGTGTGGACCTAAGCTGTGTTTGGGACTTCCCAAAGCAGATGTCCTTGACAGGGGTAAAGAAATAGGCTTTTTTTCATAGCAAGAGTCATAAGCAAGATCTTCTGCTCATTTGTCAATGAAAAATTATGTTTGGATCAAGAAATATTAGTTGAGCACTGACCTAAGTGCCAGTCATTATATTTCCAAGGCCCCCATACGCCCTCACTAAATAATCATATTAGACTCATCTCAGTTTTGTTATCCTTTTTCTTTCATTATATATTTATTTATAAATTTATTTATTTAGATGCATAGATTAGGAAAAGGCATTCTACGTTAGACATTCGAAGTTTTAAAAGGCATTTGCAAAGGTCTCTCAAGTCATTTTCACGCAAAACCCAGAAATACATAACCTTAATGATACTACAATTAAGTAAGCTTGTGATGTTAAATGATCCCCAAGATGTGAATAGACATTGAAGGAGCACAGAGAGTTTCACCCCAAAATAGGGCTCCCTGATATAATGAATGTTTTGAATTGGAAACCCTTTGAAATCAATAGGCCTTGGAAGAGACTTTTCCCCTTCTTCATAAGGATTAGATGGAATCACCAAGATGAACAATTGCTTTTCCTTTCTTTCCTTATAATCTTATCATCTATTTCAAGAAGGGAGAGGAAGAAGGTAACCGGACCAGGCCCAGCCTTTTTACAAAACAATGTCTGTCTCTCAGGTTCATTCAACTTCCAAAGAGAACCACAAGTCAATCACTGTTCACCACCCACCTGCTCTGCAATCCACTAATTCTCCCAAATCTTCATTCATTTTTCCTGGTAATCATTTAATGCCCTTCAACAGAATTACCTATATTCTCCATGTTCCGCCTCGCCTCTAAAAGGTTATATAAGTGTTTGGGCCTCATTGGGATATTGGGAAATCACTCTGATTCTCCCTGTGTGCATGGTTAAATACATTTGTATGCCTTTTCTCTTATTAATCTGCCTTACCATAAGTTGATTTTTCAGTGCACCCTCTGAGGGCAAGGGGGAAGCTTCCCTTTGGCCCCAACAAGGTCAAACTGGAAAGACGCAAAGTGCCACAGGGCTATTCCTTTCTTTCTTTTTCTCTTTTCTTTTCTTTTTGAGACAAAGTCTCTCCCTGTCACCCAAGCTGGAATGCAATGGTATGATCTCAGCTCACTGCAACCTCCATCTCCCAGGTTCAAGCGATTCTCCTGCCTCGGCCTCCCCAGTAGCTGAGATTACAGGCACACGCCATCAGGCCTGGCTAATTTTTTGTATCTTTAATAAGACACAAAAATTAATAGAGATGGGGTTTCACCATGTTGGCCAGGCTGGTCTTGAGCTCCTGACCTCGTGATCCTCCCATGTGGCCTCCCAAAGTGCTGGTATTATAGGCATGAGCCACTGAGCCTGGCCCTATGCAGTATTTTTAAATCAATAATTTGGGTAATGATATAGAAAAGTAAGATTATATCTTCAGGTAACAGGAATTTGGAAGGCAGAAGCCAGCATTTTGGATGACAAAGTTCTTGACAGACTGGATGATGGGTTGAATCATAATGTCATGAAATTTAGTAGGAACAAATGCCAAAAAACCACCAGCACAAGTACTAGATAGGGAAGATGTGGCTTCATGGCAGCAAGGGTGGAAAAGACTTGAGAACTGCACTTACACGAGACAAGCTTATATGAGACAGTGGTGTGATGTACAGGCCAAGTCCCTAACGCATCTGTTTGTCTGCACCTGTAGTGTACCAAGGCTTAGGATGATGAGAGCTCTGCCCTCACTTTTGCTAGTCAGCTCACTCTTAGATATTACATTCTGTTCAGTTTTAGGTAGGTTTACCAAAAATGATATTCTAATAAGAACACTTTTGAGAATGAAGGAGTTGCTAGTAATAATTAAGCTCAGAAAATAGCCATAAACTAAGATCCCTGGACACAGAGGACCTATGTTAGCTAGTTATAAAAGATGTAGACAAATTGGAGGATATTTGGATGAGAGGCTCAAGGAAAGGAAGGTTCTCAAAGAAACAGACTATGATAAAATTAAAGGGGTGTTCAGCCTGGAGAAGAGTAACCTGAGGTTTATAAGAAAGTTTTTTTTTTTTTTTTGAGATATTTAAAGGCAACAAATGGAGGAGGGATAGGGCTTGTGAATTATGGGTCTTAAGGTATAGAGAAAATTACAGCTTCTCAGGCCAGCCCAAGAGGAAGGGAGTGAAAAGCCAATCTCCAACCCTAGATGTTACAATTTTATAAAACAAATTTGGAGTGCTTACAAGACACCAAATCTCCAAACTGCACCCCCACCCCAATTCCAATTCAGTGATGACTATTTTCTGTTATTGTTCTAACTGTTTCCAGAATGGACCCTGTGAAAGACTTTTTGAACATCAGCCTAGCTACCACCATCAGTTCTTGTTCACATACCTACTAACTTCTTCAAAAAAATCCAATAAAATAATTCTTTCTTAATGAAACCCAGCCATTTTTCTTTTAAAAATGTTATTTCATTGTCTAAATATATGGTGGTTCCTCTCTCTTTTTAAGATCTTGATAGCTGGACTTTATAGAAGTTAGACACCTACAAGTTTGTGATTCACTGGGCTCCTATAGTTTCACATATGCCTTTTTCAGGGAACTATTTGGACTTCGGAATCTTCTTCAATATTCTTCTCTGTAAAGACCAACACAAATATCATGTTATACTGAACCTAAGACACCAGTGGTTGTAAGATGCACCACTATTATGTACCAGTAAGACAGAATAAAATGCTGCCAATTAAACTCTATTCCAAATGTCTTCACAAGTAGAGTATCCAACTCCTCTGAGTCACTTTTCAACTCAGAAATGGCACCTTTGTTCCCATTTTTTGTACGATATTGGTATCCATGTCATCAAGAGCATTGAGAATGCAACACTTATTTACAAAACACTCTAATATTATCTTTGAATCTTCTTCCAAGCACTAACACTTGATCTAGAAGCATTGATGTTTACTTTTTTAAAAATCTAACCAGCAGACGACAACAGTAGATTTACTTTTTTCCAGTAAATCAGGATTTACTTTTTCTTAGTTTGTTGACTGAAACTTTGAGGGGTTGAAGTTGACCAGTTATGCCATTGTGACTAACAACAAAATTTATACTGCATGGGCAATGATACGACATCTCAATGCCACCAGGCCAACAGATGTCTGGGATGTTAAAATGTAAAATATGATTGTATTAGATTTGACAAAATACAATAACTCCTTTTGCATATCTGCCTTCTTGTCTTAGGTGATACCCTTACCTGATAATCTGAGCACTGCTTTCCTAGCTGACTGGGACAACCTTTATTAGCTCCTTTTCACTTTAGCTGAGCATCTTCTCAAATGCTCTACTGGGTTGTCCTTATTTCCATTTTATGTACAACCTACTCTACTTTGATAATATTCCTAATTCTTTCATTTCAGCTAGTTTCCATTTTATTCATCAACTAGTAGAAAACAAAACAAAAATGAAAAGGTCAACCAAGATTTTGCATCTCAAAAGAAGACACACTTCATCTCTCACTGTTTTAAAGAAGAGCTATACAGCTTTATGGTAAAGAGGCAGCTCTTAGCCAAGGCTGTGAAAAAAAAAATAATTTGTGGAGATACTTAAAATGTAGACTGCAGTGGGATAACATAAGACCCACTCATTCTGACTCTTGGAATGAAGGATGAGGCTTTCAAAGAAGCAGGCATTTATATCTTTCAAAAAGTTCCACAGATTAATGTGACATGTCATCTAAGTTGCAAACCCTCAGGAAGAGAAAGAAATCAGGCATTTTCCAGTTCATCTAGGGACAGCTCTATTGGCACATACAAACATAAATTTGAAATTAAGAGGGCTTAAGTCTAAGTGGGCTGCAAAAAACAATCCACATGGACGGACCATGCTTGTATTCAAACCATGATATTCACACCATCCTGTATTCAATATGATTCAGTTAAGGACTGTGATGGACGCTATGATGACCAGACATGGGAATGGGTATGGTGAGAGCATAGGCAGAAAACAAAGGATGAGATTTCCTTTTATCGACATCCCAACATCCCAACTGATGCCTGGTCTGAAGAAACAGAGAAAGTGATCTTTTCCTCCGTTCTCCAGCCATAGCTTTCCAGGTCCATTTCAGGGGCAAGATGACCTACAGATAATTAAGAAACAGTTTCACGAATTGGGGATATCCTATAGCTTTAGAGTGGAGAGTGCCACTAATAAGGGCTTACACTTGGAAAAAATTCAAATCCCTGCACCCAAGGGCTCAGAAGGCAGGTTATGGCTATGGCAGAGCTCTGACGTCCTCTCCTGATCATCTCCATTTTTGGCAAAAGTTCTTCTGAATTTTAGATAGATATTAAGATCCCCCATGTTGCCTGGGTAAAGCAGATAATTGGTGATTGTACTGTTAGCTCTATTGCCTTTTAATTGTGCCACGGAATTCAGAATGCAGTACCGACTCCAAATCCCAGATCACCTCTTGCTCACCTATAGATCCAGGGACTTCTTGTTTGTGACCATGGAAGACTATAAGAGTGATTGTCTCCTGTAAACTTCTTTTCCTTCTGATCCTAAAGTAGACGCTGGAAGCAAGAACACCAAAAGCACAAATCATTGCAAATTGGTGCTGATGGTTCAAATATTTATGCTGTCCTTTTATTTTGGACAAACACTATGTGCCAGGCCCTTTATATACAGTCTCATCTATTCCTCACCACAACCTATGTAGACATCATTGTTCACCCCCATTTTACAAAGAGAAAACAGACTCAAGTTAAGCAACACCCCCAAGGTTACAAAATAAGTAAGTGCTGAATCCAGGAATTAATCTGAGATCTGATTCCAAAGTCAAAGGTCTCTCATACGTTGGATGTATTTGAAAGGCAGTGAGGAAAAAATACATATTGATGGATGGATAGCAGGATGAGTAGATGGACAGATATCATAACATAAATATAATAGAGGGCATATTATAGAAGCTATGTGGTCATTACACGGGTGTTCAATGAATGAGTCTTTAAACTGTTTGTATGTTTGAAAAAAATTGAAATAAGTTAGGGGTAAAGAAGAAAATTGTGAGGAATTCAGAGACATTGCCAATTAAACATTCTTGTAAGCATCTGTCTCATGTTTCACTAACTATGTGTTTTAGAATTTTAAGTTAATTTAGTTTGACAAATATGTGTTAAGGCTTTATTATGTAATAGGCACCAAAATACCTGCCAGCCTAGGATGCTACATTCATTGTAGGTGCTGGGGCTGCACAAGATGGAGCTCTTCTGGGGTTTACAAATTAGCGGCTGACACTATCGTGACCAAAAACCTGCAATACAAAGGTGACTTGATAAAGGGCTATCATGGATGTGTGAGGTGCTGAAGGAGCATGAGGATGGATAAGATAATAATAGCTGAGAGGTTTGGAAAACTGTCAGGGAACAGACAAAATTGAAATTGCACCTTAGAAACTGGGGAAGATGTCAAAAGGACAGGAAGAGGAGCAGTATCTGAAGTAGGGGCTTTGGAGCAAAGGCACAGAGGTGGGACAGGGCCTGTGAAGAATGCACAGGAAAAGAAGAGACTGTTGGAAAAGAAGGAAGGAAGTGCTGGGCATTACCCACCAAAATGTGGAACCAACTTTCACAAAGGAAATGTTTGACAATTATTAGAATTCTCTCAGATTTCACTTTGTTGAGTCTTCGTTTACTTATCAGTAAAGTGGGAATAATATCTGGTCTCACAGATACTATTTAAAGGATTAAATGAGGAAAAATGGTAGAAGTTCCTAGAAGAGTGCCAGCCACATATCAGCACTTACTAAGCAATGCAGACTGAGCTACACCCACGAGCCTGGGGCTGCACATAAACTAACTACACAGCAATAGTCAAGATTTGTATTAGGCTGTAAGACAAATCTTGATTGGGAATTGTTACAATTCTCCTAAATCCCAGAAAGGAGGAGCTAAATAGTTTTGTCAGGTATGACTGATTTTTTTTTAAATTAACTTATTGATTGAATGACTGGTTTTACTTTGGGTTCAGGACTCAATCAACAAATTCAATTGTACAAGAAGTGAAACTTTATTTTTCTGTAACCACTTATCTATTTTGAGCCTATCTTCAGTGTTAGAACCTAATTTCCCTCAATTCTGCACCCCCACTCTTTTCACTGGTTTCCAGGGGTCTTACACTGTACCAGAGCAATGGGTGGAGATAGCATCACACATCTCTTTGTGATGCTATCTCAGCACCAGCCTTGGCTGATATGACTTTATTCCTGGTGGGTTTTCACCACTGAGCTGTTCCCCAGCATGAGACTCCTTCAGACATGGCATATTTTCTCTCAACTGTTGCCAAGCCCCTTGTTGGCACAGGAAACTTTACTGCACTGCTTTCAGGCCACAGGGGCACCAGGAAGCTCTGTGGGTCCTTCATTACTATTCCGGTGGGACTTTTGGGCACAGAAGACTCATTCTAACACTTGTGAGCTGTGCTGGGGTACACTCAGTTCTTTGAGGCTGGCACCGACCATCTGTCCCCTGGATACCACTCAGCCACTCAGCCATTTCTGTTGTGGATTTTGCAGTCTTCTTGAGCTCTGCTTGGAGGTGATGACAACCCCAATCCATCTTCAGTTCTGTCGTCCACAACCCTCTCCTCTGGGGAGCAGGGTGTAGAGTCTTTTTCTCAGAGGAGAAGGGAGCCACCAGCATCTAAGAGCTGTCTCTGCTTCCTCTTCCCCCTCCACCTTCCCTTCCCTCCTCCCCACCAGCATCTAACAGTTCCCTTTCCTCCCCTAGCTCTAACACTGTCCTCACAGCACACCTGAAAAACTTCAGGTCCTACAAGGGGTGGGAAGCCTTACATCAGTTCAGCTTAGTGTCTCTATGCCAAGTGCCCTCAGGGTCTTGACTTCGGAAAATCAAAAGGCTTTTTTTCTTGTTCTCTGGTGAAACTTCTTCCTGATAGAACAAATGATATCTAAATGGGTTTGGGGGAGGCGGCAGAGGCAACAGGAGCTGCCAGAAGAGGCAAATCAGTTAATATATTTAAAATATTCTGCCAGTGTTCTCCTCATCCCTTTCAATTGACTTCATCCTTTGAACAAGGTGGGACATTTTTCCTGCTAGTTCTTATGTCTCAGAATTTCATTTCCAGGTGACCTGCTGCAGACTGGGCTAGAGTGGCACTAGGTGACCCTAATACTTACAGAAGATGAATCACATTTCTTGAAAGCTGCCTTACCCTTAGAGTTATGGCTGACTCCCTGGAGGTTTCTTCAAGAAATTCAGCCGATGGCTCCCCAAGTTGCTAATCACCAAAGTGCATGATACTTTAGAAATAACACTTGATTTCTAGTATTTGTATGGCTGGTGTGCCTACTGTACAGTCTTTGAAAAATTATAACACAAGATCCTTTAGTTGGGGCTATATGCTTCACAAGTTTCATGTGCTAGTAATCACAACAGGGAATTAAGTATTGCTCATACTGCCACCTGTTCGTGCACAGCTTCTTTCTGGCCTTGCTGGTAAGATTTCTGCTCCTCCTCATCCTTTAAGGCGTGTCTTTAGCTTGATGCTGGAGTAATTTCTTTCGTTTCAGTTACCCTCTCTGGGTATGATAGTCTTCTATATCAAGCTTGGAGCCTGAAAGAGAAGTAACTTGTCAGTTAAAAAAAAAAAAAAAAGATAAAAGTCAAAGATCAGGATGTTTGAGAAAAAAAAAAATATTAACTTGGTTCTTTTCTTCACTAATTACTCACCCCAAACAAGACCCCGAAGAGTTTCATTTCTAAAACATAACTCTGTATATTAAGAAGACTCCCAATTCAGGTTGATAAATACCCATAGGGTCTATCTCTCACTATGAACCTGCACAGGTAAGGGGCAGAAAACTCTCTCTCCATTAAGCACTAAGAAACTTTCCTTGTCACAATTAAAGTCCTCTTTGGTGGCCAAGGATTTATCAGCAACCTTGTTCATAATGATCATCTTATGAATGGTGACAGAGAAAAATAAATCACTTCCTCTTGCTAATAAATTGCTCCAATTGCTTCAAAATGGCAGACTTTCTGCTGAAATGAACCTTCCCTGGGCCAATAATAATATTCCCAGAGAAAAACTGGGGAAGTGAGGGGTTGAAGTGGGGTGGGGCCTGTATTTCCAGCATCTGAAGGGAAACAGCAACACATGGCTTCATCACCTTACCTATATTCTTCAACAGCACCTAGAAGAGATGCTGACCTCAGATAAGCTGAGGTTCACCTTCACCCATCCAAAGAGTTACATCTTAATTATTCAGTTGAACTTTTATTATTTAATAAACAAGAATATAAGTGCCCAATATTTGGTGTTTTATCAATTACAGCCTTTGTCTTAATTCTGTACAAAATACACAGAAATTTCTCTCCCAACAACATCCTCCCTCAAAATAAGCATATGCTTAAAAAAAAATCACCTAACCAGACTTTTTCCAAGAAGCACATATAGTCCTTTTTATTCAAGGTAACATGCGGACCTGTTAAACTTTTTTTTAAATTTTTTAAAATTTGAAGTCTTCTCTGAAGACTTCAATAAAGGGAGCTCATATGCCTCACCCAGTCTGCCTGACTTAAAGTAGCGTGAGGCAAGAATCATCCACATGCAGAGTTAAACAATGAAATTTTCCAAGTATATACATGCTGTGAGAATCGATAACCTCTTCTCAAACGAGCAAATTGGTTTCAAGTATTCGGTTCACTGGTTACATCCAACAGCCACAATAAGAGGCCACCTCCCGAGTGAAAGGGAAGGTGAAGATGAATTCTTGAAAAATGCGTTCTCATCAGAATTCCTGTGCTTCTTACTGCATGGATGGTATTTGTAAAACTCTTCAGAAAGAACACTGAGTTTAATTTCAGGCAACCTTTTTTGTTGATTTTTTTTCACTAACTTTAATTTTCTTATATGAACTGTGATATACAAAGGCAATCACTTTCAGTATAAAATTAAGAATGGCAAAAGTAATTTTATAAAAACTACTGTAGAAATAACATCATCCAATTAAATTTATAGAATATGCCCAAAAGAAAAATGTAAGAATATTCACATGAAGAAATATTAATCTAGAGCTCAGAAGACCAGAATATGTACTCCAGGGGCGTCAGGGGCAGGAACTAGGAAATAGAGATAAAAGTTGCTTTTTGAGACCTTTCTCGCCTTAACCCTGAATGCTTCATGCTCCCAAAGAATCCAGTTATGGAAACACAAATTACTTCATCCTCAGTTTCACTTAAAATACAAAAAACAGGTTACACTTTCTTCTTTTTTTATTATTTTTCTTTGAGACGGAGTTTTGCTCTTGTCACCCAGGCTAGAGTGTAATGGCACGATCTCAGCTCACTGCAACCTCCGCCTCCCAGGTTCAAGCGATTCTCCTGCCTCAGCCTCCTGAGTAGCTGGGACTACAGGCACCCACCACCACGCCCAGCTAATTTTTGTATTTTTTTTAAGTAGAAGTGGGGTTTCCCCACATTGGCCAGGCTGGTGTTGAACTCCTGACCTCAGGTGATCTGCCCACCTCAGCTCCCCAAAGTGCTGGGATTACAGGCATGAGCCACCGCGCCTGGCCACAGGTTACATTTTCAAGTGTTATTAAGTTGTTTATACAAATTTAAAGTCATAAGCATGACTTCAGGATCTGTGCTTTTTATGTCAAGTGCTCCTCTTTGTTGGAATTCTAACAATAAAGTTTTTTTCAGAGTGCTGTGCAGTACCTCATTTCATGAAAATAACTCATGGCATAATTTGTTTTCTGGCTTAGATTTCTCTTTGCAGCCAGGCTATCCTTTCTAAAATAAAACTGATATTCTCTAGAAAGGTTTGCCTGAAGTGATTGCCGTTTCTACTGAGCTATGTTCTGGGAATATCTGTCAGGAAATCTGGTCATTGAAAGCAGAATTGTCTGTGTCCTTCGTTCCCAGGCAAATAACCTGTGTTTTCTCTTTTCTCCCTTCCTTCCCTCTCATTCCCTGAGGGCATCCACCCTTCTCTCCAGCAATTCCTGTGTGTCATCACCTCCTCAAACTGCCTTTCCTCCCATGCTCTCAGAGGGCTTCTGTTCCAATCCTTCTACTCTTGGAATCTCCTTTTCTTTTCTTCCTCTTGACATGGAATGTTAATATAGAAATTCTTGCAAAAATATGGCTACCTTTATAGTCTAGATAAAAGAAAAATCTTCCTCCTAACTTGTGCTTTCTTTCTTTAAATTTTTTTTTGGGGGGGTTGTTTCCTAAGTTCTGGGATACATGTGCAGGGTGTGCAGGTTTTTTACATAGGTAAACATGTGCCATGGTGGTTTGCTGCATCCATGAACCTATCACCTAGGTATTAAACCCAGCATGCAGTAGCTATTTTTCCTGATGCACTTCCTCCTGCTGCCATGCCACAGTAGGCCCTGGTGTATGTTGTTCCCCTCTCTGTCTCCATGTGTTCTCATTATTCAGCTCTCACTTATAAGGGAGAAAACGTGGCATTTGGTTTTCTGTTCCTGAGTTAGTTTGCTGAGGATGATGGCTCCCAACTCCATCCATGTCCCTGCAAAGGACATGATCTCATTCCTTTTTACGGCTCCATAGTATTCCATGGTGTATATGTACCATGTTTTCTTTATCCAGTCTATCATTGATGGGCATTTGGGTTGGTTAATGGGATCACTGATGGGCAATTGGGTTGATTCCATGTCTTTGCTACTGTGAATAGTGCTGCAGTGAACACACATGTGCATATATCTTTATAACAGAATGATTTATATTCCTTTGAGTATAAACCAGGTAATGGGATTGTTGGGTCAAATGGTGTTTCTGGTTCTAGATCTTTGAGGAATTGCCACACTGCCTTCCACAGTAGTTGAACTAATTTACATTCCCACCAACAGTGTAAAAGCATTCCTATTTCCCTGCAACCTCGCCCGCATCTGTTGTTTCTTGACTTTTAATAATCGTCATTCTGACTGGCACGAGATTGTATCCCACTGTGGTTTTGATTTGCATTTCTCTAATGATCAGTGTTGTTGAGCTTTTTTCATATGTTTGTTGGTGGCAGAAAAGTCTTCTTTTGAGTAGTGTCTGTTCATGTCCTTTGCCCACTTTTTAATGTGGTTGTTTTTTTCTGGTAAATTTGTTTAAGTTTCTTGTAGACTCTGGATATTATCCATTTGTCAGATGGACAGATTGCAAAAATTTTCTCCCATTCTGTAGGATGTCTGTTCACTCTGATGATAGTTTCTTTTGCTGTGCAGAAGCTGTTTAGTTTAATTAGGTCCCATTTATCAAATACTTGCTTTTGGTGCAATTGCTTTTGGCGTTTTTGTCATAAAATCTTTGCCAGTGCCTATGTCCTGAGTGGTATTGCCTTGGCTTTCTTCTAGGGTTTTTGTAGTTTTAAGTTTTACATTTAAGTCTTTAATCCATCTTGAATTAATTTTTGTATAAGGTGTAAGGAAGGGGTCCAGTTTCAATTTTCTGCAGATTGCTAGCCAGTTCTCCCAGCACCATTTGTTAAATAGGGAACCCTTTCCCCATTTCTTGTTTTTGTCAGGTTTGTCAAAAATCAGATGGTCGTAGCTGTGTGGTCTTACTTCTGAGATCTCTATCTTGTTCCATTGGTGTATGTGTCTGTTTTTGTACCAGTACCATGCTGTTTTGGTTACTGTAACCTGTAGTATAGTTTGAAGTTAGGTGGCATAATGCCAGCTTTGTTCTGTTTGCTTAAGATTGTCTTGGCTATACAGCCTCTTTTTTGGTTCTGTATAAATTTTAAAATAGTTTTTTTCTAATTCTGTGGAGAATGTCAATGATGGTTTAATGGGAATAGCATTGATTCTGTAAATTACTTTGGACAGTATTTTCTACTTAAGCACATGTACTTTCAAAGGGACATATATGGAAGAAAAGGAAAAGGGATCCATCCTAGCCAGCATATCACAGGGCTCATGAGCAGCTTCTTCCTTTGAATGGTCTCTGGGCTCTCCTCCATTCCCATCACTCTGGCCCACCCCACACTCACTACTAGAATTGCAGACATCAGAACATGGCTTGATGATATGTTTCATCCATGAAGCTCTGGAAATTGCTAGTAATTGGAATTCTCTTTCCTTTCATAGCCTCCAAATCATTCTCAAAGGTCATAGGACTTAGTAAATGTTAGGGCTTAAAACTACTATTTTAGGGACACCTCATCCATTCAACAGGCCTTTATGGACTGACCTAGAACTACTACTAACACTAATTTATTTTATTTACTGATAACCTTATACCCCTATTTGTTAAAGGAATTTTAGCATTATTAATAGCATTGTTGATGACAAGCCTAGCACCTAAGAAAAACTATGAGTTAGAACCAACTGAATTATACACCTAATCTTTGATAAAGAGTATAAAAGTTGAAGGCTCCTCCTTGTCTTTTTGCTTGCTTTTCACATTTTTTACCTTTCTGCATATTTATTTATTCAACAAATATTTGATAATCCCCTGCTACACAATCTATTAGGTGCGATGACTAAAACAACAGGCTAAAGCAGAGAGCTCCTGCCCTTGTGGAGCTTACAGTCTAGTAGAATAGACAGACAACCAAATACTGGGGGAAGGGGGAGTACAACTGCTACAATA